AATATAATCAACTTCATTTCTAAGCCTGGACCATATCCAAATTTTATGCCATATACATTTTATTTTTGAATTTTTCAATTTTTCTTAAGATCACAGCCTGTGTAATTAGAACTATGGCATACGTGGCTTGTCAGTCCTACTATCTGCTTGAAGCGGAGATTTTCTTGCTTTGCTGTGTGATTTATTCTCAAAAGTATTTAGTTTTGTTCACATACTTCAAAATAAATCGGTAAGTAGTTACAAAGTTGACTTGGTTTAAGTTTCAGTAGTTCATTCATTGATACATATGTATGTGTGCACCTAAACACTCACTAATCACACCTCCAGGATCTCCTTCAGCCCATAACATTTCTTCTCAAAATCCCAAGTATCCTTCCCCTAATACTTTCATCATCAATTCTAATTTTTATTGCAACAGCCTGATTCCCAAATCTGCAATTCAGTCCAAGACACAGAAATCAATCTCAAGCAGACATACTAGTTTTAGACATGACGGCAAGAATGTTTCGGATTTTAACAGGCAATATTCCCCTTCTTGTGCCTTTAAAATTATAAGGAGTGCATATAAATTAAAAGATAAAATGGCTGGATTACTCCTTCTGAGACCCAACCTAGTATCTTATTGCTATCTTTCCTCCGTGACTTAAATGTGCTGAAAGGCCGGGCGCGGTGGCTCAAGCCTGTAATCCCAGCACTTTGGGAGGTCGAGGCGGGTGAATCACGAGGTCAAGAGATCGAGACTATCCTGGTCAACATGGCGAAACCCCGTTTCTACTAAAAATACAAAAAAAAACATTAGCTGGGTATGGTGGCGCGTGCCTGTAATCCCAGCTACTCAGGAGGTTGAGGCAGGAGAATTGCCTGAACCCAGGAGGCGGAGGTTGCGGCGAGCCCAGATCGCGTCATTGCACTCCAGCCTGGGTAACAAGAGCAAAACTCCATCTCAAAAAAAAAAAAAAAAAAAAAAAAAAGTGATGAAAGACGTGGGTAAAAGAGAAAGCATTGAAAGTATAGATGATTCTTGCTGTTCAAGTTGCCCTTTCTAATCTTCATGAATGAAATCAGAGAAGAATGAGGCAAGCCTGTGACACTTCCCGGATCTCATCATTTTCAGTGGCTAGAAAACACTTTGCATTCAACCCTCCGCACCAGGGGTGATAATCCAAACAGCCTTTTGGAGCTGGAATTTTCTATCAAAGACTATGGGAGCATGTCTAAATAATTATACATCCCCACCATTGTGTAAACCAGTTTAATTAACATTTTTCAGGCATGTCACAATTATACAAGCACTAAATAATTTTCTAAAATTATGCTCCATTAAAAGTTGCCACATATCAACTTGGATTATTTTTACTCATGGCCCTAATCATGTCTGAATTTTATATTCCTTTTTATAACCCTTTATTTATTTTTTTTACTATAATTTGGTCTTCCATTGAAGATGATTGATACTTACAGGCTAGCCAGATGCTTTGTTCAACTGATTTTTCAAATGTTGCATTTAATTGCCCTTGACTTAATGAAAGCTGGCATTTTTTTTTTCCAGACAGGTATAGCATTATTAAATGTCCTTTGCATTCAGTTTATAATTAAAAAAAATCTTGGAAAGCATTCACCACCATCTCTCTGACTTAGTCAGAATATCCTCTGTGAATAAAAGAAACATTCTAGTGTCCGGCATCCATGGGATTTGAGGAATAAGGAGGTTGCAAACACGCACTTTAATTGTGTTTTGGCTTTTCAGCAGCACATGTTTCAAGAAGATATCAGTCAATTTACTCTCTATTTGAGAAGATATAAAAAATTGGGAAGCAAACAATTAATATATTATTAGTACTCAAATTACTTTTTGGTCTTTTTAAAGCCTATTGTTATTATTATTAATTACTATTACTATCTTTATAAATGCATTCTTTTTCTCTAGAGTAGTAATTTCAAGCAAGACTAATAAATCAAGAAATGTTCCCAGGCATGAAGCTGAAATAAAATTAGGAATACAAATAGAAGAAATTGTACAATCAAATGAGCAAGCACTCACGTCATATTTAGTGCTCTGTACACATTGAGCTGCATGGTTACATAAGCAGAAGGATTAGTATTTAGGTCATTAAATTCGTCTTTTGAATTTTCTTGCTCTTTATCAAGAATTTATTTGCTTCCTGACAACATTTACCATGCCATATTAACCACAGTACTTTATCTACCAGTATTTCCAATGTTTAAACTTCTTACCAATAAATATAACTCTATGGAAGAATTAAATAAACTGCAACTGATGGTATCTATTAAATTTTATCTATAATGCAAAGTGATTTTGCAGAATTCTCACTTTCATGGATTAGAAAACACATTTTATATGTTTGCCTTGGCTGCGTTTATGCATTAAAAAGATCTTGACGAAATCAAATAATTATGTGGGGAATTCAAACTAACAAAATTATACTTTTGTTAACAAAATTACATATTTTTTTACTTTAATAGAACTCATATATTGAAAAGCAGGTTTTTTTGGCCTATATCTTTTTGTTCGCAGCTTTGTGGGTAAACAAACTATTAAGCTGCATTCATACTTTATTATTCTGGCCAAATCTGTTTTCAGTGACTATCTCAAGATGACTGGCTGTTTAGAAATCAAAAGGCATAGTGTTTTTGGTGCCAGTTCACAAAGAATACTCATACACATTTGCAACAGTATGTCTGGGTCTTAAATAACCTTTCCTTTTGCTATGAACACATACTCGAGGAACAATAAAAAAGGATGTTTATTATTAACAAAGATAAATTATTTGTGTTTCCTCTGATACAAATGATGCTGCAAAATTGATGTCAAAATCTTTAGAAATACCTTCAGTTATCATGTCTAGATTCTGAAAAATGACCTGTGGCTTGATAGAACAAGCCCCAAGTTTATGCTGTCTTCATTCTTCACGGTACATGGATCAACACACTTAATCCATGATCTGTGATCCATACAATGTTATCAAGTGACGGAGTCTCCTCTCAGCTTTACCTCTGTATCCACACATCTGGAGAAATAATTTCCAGAATTTGAAATTTCAAATTAAATAGTAAGTTTAAAGCAATATATAATTCAGGAAAAATCATTCTTGCTCATAAAGATAGCTTAGGTCCAATAAGAATTTAGTTTGTTATTTCTAGGTACTGATACTTCTCAGTTAAGAAGCCCTGCTAGTGAAGGTCAGTTAAAAATGAATCATTAAATATAGAATGTAGGTGTATATAATTTGATTATTTTAATGCCAAAACCATCTTAATTTTAATTTCAAATATCCTTCTGCTACTGATAAAGGAGACATCTATTTTTCTATCTCTGTAGTTACAGACATATATAGTTTTGTTGTTGGTTTTTCCAAAATAAACATCTCTATGTCATGGAGATACTAGGAAATAAATATCAATTAACTTATGGAAATCTAGCTTGTTAAATTTTGTTTTGCCTTCTGCTTATGCTGGCCCCCCTGGCCAACACACCTTTCCAGGTTTTTGTATCTATCTGACATTTTCTCCATTTCTCAAGGCTCAACTGGAAGATTTGTATCATAACTCTCATGTAATACTCACATTATAGTAAAATTATGGTCTCTGTGCCTGTCTCAGAAACAATACTATTACTAGATTCTGTGGTCAGAAATTGTGTCTTTCACACACACAAAAAGGATATTTGTATCCTTTCTACCTACCACAGTGCCTACCTGACTCATTATAGGCAGAATATAATATACCTGAAACTCATCTGAAAGCAATTTCTGTATTTTACAAAAAGGGCAGCAGCTTGAAACACAGCTGCTTACTCCTACAGGTGAAATTGTTTTTTTTTTTTTTAGGTTATATCTCTATACAAAAGGGATAAGGCAATCAACCACATAAAGCAATGGCAAAAGTCCTACACTGAGACAAAGTCATTTTCTAATCTGGTTTGCTTTGATTGACCTAATTATATTAGTCATTAATAACTTTCAGATTTTTTTCTTTAGACACATAGACATAGTTTAAAGATACTGGAGTTTCTCAACTTAAAATAAATTGTTCACAAATTTGCCTGTAAATTTATTTTCAATTATTAAACATTATTAGGCGTTTAGCATTTACTAGCATCAAGTGGGTTTGCATCAATAATACTGTGTTTTGTTGAATTTCTTAAAAATTGAAAAATATACAAATTAATGTCTAGTCATGCATTTGCAAAAGGAATATTTGCTAAGGAATCAAAGTTATTGTAATTTTTAAGACACTTTAAATACAAAATGATCTACAAATAAGAGTAACAAAATGCTCTTCTATGAAGCAAAAAGCTTCCCTAGTGATTCTCACCTATGTTTTCTTCTCTTTTTTTGGCATGATGCTCTTTTTCTTCCACCACTGGGCCTGCCTATTTTCCTCCCTTGTTATCCACAGTCAGCCTTTTGTGGCCTTTACAGGACTTGGTCACAATGTTGCATCAGAAAGCACATGTTACTGAGACAGGCACATACTTTGTAATACTCCAGGAGAATCTGCATAATCTTTTTTAGTCTTTTCACCAGCAATGAGTGTATGTTATCTTAGTAACAAATCAGCCAATATCCTGTTTGCCATGAAAAGCCATGTCATAGCTAGCATTATTAAAGGGGCAAGGGATAAGAGCCCATTTCAAGTGGAATAACAATATCTTTCCAGGTGGCAGAAATTCTGAAATGCCTCTGGCTCTGGGATGAAGGCTAAGTCCTAAGGATATCTGGCATTTGTAACTCCGACTGCAGTTCACATTCATGTGGAGTCAACATTAGCACAGTGCTTTTCTGATGTCATACATAAATGGATGTCATGCAGAAAATAAGGAGCTCCTCAGGGCTTGGGAGAGTTGCAGGTAGTTTGACTAAATTTGGACTCCTTAACTAGTGGTGGCTTAATAGATAAAACATAGAATTTTCATATGAGTTTAAAGAAGAGTCTCATTCCTTTTTGAAGAAAAAACCTCAAAGATAACTTCCCTGCACTGGGACAGGGTGTCTTAGATTGTTTTTCAGAGTTAGTCATTCAAAAACTTAGTCTAAATGTTTCCCCAATGATTTTTACTCTTCCCTTTCAAATAATAATAAAAATTTTAAAATGGTCTTGGTCTACAGAAAACAAACTCCATAAACATCAACCTATTCTTTATTTGTTATAAATGAGAAAAATATCAATCTTAAACTGCAACCTTTAACACAAGAAGATCTTGTTCATAGAATGTATTTTTATATCTTGGCAAAAATACTTTCCTAATTGAAATACAAGATCACATACTTAGTTTGTACTAATTTTATACATCAGAGGGTTTTTTAAGTTCTCTAGCTCAAAAAATTTCAAAACTGTGTCTTAAAAAACTCAAAATTACTAAAGAAAAAATTAATATAGAAAAAACTTTTGTCTAGACAATTTAAATAAATCAATAGAGCCCTGATCTTTACTTAAGGCCTAATAGTTAGGGGGCTGAGACCTCAGGGACTTGCCTAGGCTTTCTGATATGGCTAGCCTCAATAAATAGAAATGGAATAATTGTGGCTAAATACAGCCATGTGTACCAGCCTGGGCATTCATTCATTGTTATACAATATTATAATCCTGGGACCATAAGGAGCATATATCTAGCTCTTGATGGTTCTATGTTCTATCAGGAAGCATTGCAGCAGAATAAGCCCTCATTTTTTAAGGTCTAATTTTTCTTGCTGATATACCTAAATTATAAAGACTTTTTCGTACATTAAGTTTATGGTTGTCCCTAGCAACTGAGTAGTAAATTTAGCCTACTAATTGCTTTTCTGTATTTTGCCTTAATAATAGTAGTTAACATTTACTGAATATTTTTATGTGCCAGGAGTTGTTCTAAGTCCTTTAATTATATTAGTTTATTTATTCCTCACTTAAATAATTAATTCTATGAGTCAAATGCTATTTATCTCCATTTAATAGATGTGAAGACCCAGTTATAATTTTATATAAGCCCCCAAGTCATACTTTGAGCCACTATGTTATGTTGCCTCACACTTTAGATTTTTAAGCCAGAAATTATTCTGTTAATAAAAAGGAAGGTCATATGAAGTAATTGTTTTGCAATTGATTCTATTTTAAATAAAATGAACAAAACTTTTTATGGTACTCTCTATGTGCCAAGCCCATTATAAGCACTTTAAACAAATATTAGTTTATTTAATCTTTACCCCAGTCTTATAAGGCAGGGACATTATTATTCCTATTGTGTGGAAAAGGAAATTGGGACACAGAGAGACTAAGAAGCTTGCCCATGGTCACCCAGCTGGTACATGATAGAAATTCAGGGGAAAAATACCATCACACCAATTCTTGCAATTATTTTAATTTAACATTCTAGTCCTGCTACTACTGTCTCTGAATAAATTGTTCCATCTTTCTAAATCTTAGGAACCTCATTTATAAATTAAAGGTGGGGGGACTCCATGATCTATAAGGCCCTTTCAAATGCTCCTATTTATTCAGTACAAAAACACCTGAAAAGTCACTTTGAAAAAAGCTTGTTCATGCCAGTCTGAAGCTTCACAAGCTCCAGCTTTTTATCTGACTGTGCATTCTGACAATTTTCTGTATTTCTCTAAGAGTGGTCTGGAAAGAGATCTAGCAGGAAATGAAGAATGTAGGAAGTATTTTGATGGTCTCCAGAAGTGCCAACTTCAACTCAGCATCTGCCAACAGGTCTAGATAATCCTCCAAACTCTGTGTAAATCCTGGATCCACCATTTACCAGCTGTGTAACCCTGGGCAACGATTTCATCTTTCTGACCTCACTGTCTTTCTCTGTAAAACAAGGATAATAATAATCCTACTTCACTAGAGTTGCTGTGATTCGTACAATAGTATTTAGGCCACAGTAAGTATTGAGTGAAAATTAGCATTATTATTGCAGATTTCTGCTCCTACGAAAATTAAGATTGCGAATCACTAGACTTACATACACTTCCTCTGAAGTCTAAAGAAATCCTAGGCTCCTCCCAAGATTTGGAAAGTTGAGATTAGAAAATTGATCTTTTACTATCTTCAGAAAAAAATTTCTAGTAAAATTGTTCAATAATTAAGTTAGATATTATCTGATCTGGAACTGAGTTAGGTTGCTGAAATCATTTAATTTCAGAGGGACTGTGTGTACAATATCAACATGAGCTAGATTTCATTTAATCTGATTAATATAGCTAGGCAATCAGTATCATCAAGTCTAGTCAGTTTGTTATAGGAATTTTCTAAAGTTTGTGAGATATAGACATTATTCTGCCCATTCCTCCTTAGTTAAGCTAAGAGGTATTGGTTTTATTATTTGCTATATGCCACTTAGCATTTGATAAATGTAGCATTTACAGTGCATTCTCCGAGGACTGGAAACAGTATTGTAGAATACCAGAACCTGTTTTCCCTTTTAAGTAACACACTATCTCAGTATATAAATTATCCACTACCTAAGGTAATGGAGAAGAAAACCTAAGGAAGTTTGACATTTATTTTGGAAGTGTGATAAAACAATTGACACTGGTGAAATTTAACACTACCTTGAGGTCTCATTACACTTGCTTGTCACTCCCTAGTGCAAACTCACTTTTGCTTTATAGAAGAGCCAATATATTAATCTGTAGCCTTAAAGTGAGTTATTAGTTTAATGTAGATCCAATCTGAGAATAAATTAGGTCCTTTTAAAATGTATTACAGAATGTTGCACTAATGGTAGTTGATGATGTATATTCACTCTTTGTGTGGGTACAAATGTGATATGATTACATCCAGGACAAGACCCTGAATTTAAGTAAGGCTTTTAGAGCTGAAGGAGATCACAGAGAGTCTATCATCCATCAGAGGCCCAAAGGGATTAAGTGATTTGTCTAAGGTTATACAGATAATAGGAGGATATCGCAGATTTCAGGCTAGACTTTCTTGAGTTCAAGTTGAAGGAAGGTCCATTCTTCTAAAGTATGCATTCAGAAAACATATTATAACGGTAATAATAATTACAATAACCACCATTTATTGAATACATCCTCTGGGCCAAGTGTTCTGCTGGACTCCACACATAGAAGCCCTTCTCTGACCCCGACCCTGTTCTATTCCCCTCATAGCTCCATGAGGTATGTCTGGCTGTCTTCATTTTATAGACAGATGTCAGACTCCGGATTTGTGACTTGTACAAGGCCACACAGCTAGGAAATGCCAACAGCTGGGTCCAGCTGGGTCAGCTCTGAATCTGCACTCTTTCTACAGGACTAGCTGCTTTGCCCAAGGGGACCAAAATGACCACATCTTGTCTCCTGGTTTTGAAAATTAACAAATTCACTTTTAATGACATCAGGTGTAAACAATCTACCAAATTATTAAAACATTATCTTTTTGCCTATGCAGGCCGTGGATTCAAGACCATGAACTTATAATCAGTGATATCCAAGAGGATGGGAAGGGGATATTAAGCCTGGTGCTTTGCAAATTAATGCTTGGAGGTAAACAAGGAGTATCACAGGAAATTACTATTTCCTTAACTTTTCATTCTATTTGAAAGAGAAATTCCCAAATGCTAAATACTACCCTATATTTTAATCCTAAAATTACACTGGACATGTGACAATGGTGCTGAGTACTTTGGGGGAAGGTCACAACAATCCTGGTAGCAGTGTCATAGCAAAATATTTTAAATGTACCACATGAGCTAGCTCCAAGGCAAAATGAGGCAATATTATGTTTAACTGTTTGTTCGGAAACTTCTTTTATTAAAAAAGATTTAAATATTAATGCTATTTTCAATACAGGTGTGATAACACTCAATAAAGCATAGTGTAATTGATATAAATTTCGGAATGTAACAGTCCATCTAGTTCCTGGCCCCCTCCAGTCTCCACCACATACCCTAGTAGCAAAACATATACACCCTTTTAAAAAATAAAGAAGCTTTTGGGCATTGGGTGAGCAGAGTGGGGTGGGGCAAGGAAAGTGTTCTTTCCTGAATTACTCACACTTTTGGCTTTGACTTCAGTTAGTAACATCAATTCTAAGAAAACTGAGACAAACTCTTCTACGTTCCGCAAAGGGAGGGAGAAAAAAAGCCTGCCATTCGCAAGCGGCTATGGGCAAAACCAGCGCAGAGTACAGGGGTCGGGAAATTAGAGATTAAAAAAAATTGGAGTAAAGTGCACAGTTACCGTGAAAAATATATTATTTTGATCCTAAGAAAATTAAAAGAATTTTTATCTAATGGACTAGATTGCTGACCTTTTAACACATTTGGTTTTCATTGAACATACAATCACCATCGGACATAAAAAGACCAGTTTGCTTTAAAAAAAATTCCTTGGAGTTATCTACAGGAGTCTTGTGGACGCAATTCAAGGATAACATTCCGCAGCTCTTTGGATATTGAATGATGTCCTCGGATAAGTCCACAAAAGAAACAGGGACCTGTTAATGCACTGATTCAAGTAGGCGTTTCTCCCATTTTCTCCCTCCTTCTCCCCCCACCCCACTCCTTTCTCTAAATGTCTGTGCTTTCCAGTTCTCCTTCTGCCCCTATGGCATGAGACCTGGAAATCATGAAGAGTTTCTCCTTGTTTGTAAACTGCCTCTGCATCGGCTGAGGTTGCTCGGCCGTGGGTGGCTCTTGGCTGGCACCCTCCGGGGAGCTCTGCTCCGCACCCGGAGCGGGGTCGGCCACAGAGTCTGGCGTTTGACCCGCTGCTGCGTCCAAGACCGACTCCGAGGAGGTGCCGGCCTCCCGCAGGGGGGTGTAGCCCTTATTGCTGCTGGATGGGTCATCCGACTGGGAGCTCCCCGAGTCCCGCCGGGTGGGGGGCGAGTCCTCCAGCCGCAGGGGTGGCGAGGTGGAGGCGGCTTTGGCCAGAGGGCTCGAGTCAGGGTCCGCACTGCCCCGGGAGGGCGGGGGTTCGGGGGACGGCGGCGCCCTGTAGTCCGGGAGCCCGCTGGTGCTGCGGCGCCGCAAGGCCGCGTACCTGCCGGTCCTGGGCAGGCGGCCGCCCTGCCCCCTGGCGGCGCGCACAGCTACCGCGCCTTCGGGCTCCTCCAGCTCTCCGCGCGCCGGGCGCACGCTGCCCTCGGCTCCGCGGAGGTTGGTCATGCTCAGGTCAAGCTCGCCCCTCGGGATCTCCAGGGAGCCGCGTTCCCCCGGCGGCCTCTGCCAGCTGCAGCTCGCGCCCTCCGCGTCCGCGTCCCTGTCGCGGTCCCCTTGCAAGGGCAGCAGCGCGAAGGCGCTCAGCGAGGAGCCCACGAGGGAGCTGGCGGTGCTCTGGCGCCCCCAGCTCTCGGGTGGGCTGCAGGGAGCCGGACTGCTGCAGCTGCTGGCGGCCGCGGCGGCGGTGGCAACGGCGGCCCGGCGACGGCCGGCCACGCCCGAGCGCTCGCGGTAGACGCTGTACACGGCCTCGGCCAGGCTCGGGGGCTCCCGCGGGCAGCGCGGGGAAGAGGCCAGGTCCGGGGGGGACGCGGCGCCCCGGCGTCGGCCGCCGCTCAGCGCCGCGGGTTGAGGCGGCCACGAGCCCTTGGCCAGCACCGCCGCCGCTCCGAAGGCGTCCCCGGCGCCACCGCAGCTCCCGGACTTCAGCTCCAGGCCCCGCGACTGCACGTAGCTGAGGAAGCCGTTGAGCGGTATGGCCCCGGGGGGCGCCGCGGCGGGGGCCGACGACGACGAGGAGGCGGCGGCGGCTGCGGCGGCGGCGGCGGCGGCCGCCAGGTCTTTGGCGCGGAGGCTGTGCACGTCGATGACGGTGGAGTAGAGGTCACGCAGGTTGATGATCTTGGTCTTCTTGTCCCGGTTCTCATGGAGGACCGCGTTTGCGCAGATGAAGAGAAAGATGCCGATGCCCATGATGAGGGGCCCGAATACCTTGAGCTTGTCAGAGTGCAGGTAGCCAGAGAAGATGCGGAAGAAGAAGCCCACCGACGTGGAGGAAGAGGAAGGGGCGGCGGCTCGCGCTGGAGGCGCGCTCCTCGGCACGCCCGCGGAACTGGAGTTGACACCCCCTGGAGCCCCAGGGTGGCTCCTGGACCGGTTTTTGCTGCCACTGCTGCTGCTGTTGGCCGTGGTCGGGACGCGGTGGCGGCTGCCCTCAGGCGGCAGCTGCTTACCCCCCTCTCGACTGGCCCCATTGACCTTCGGCCAGTAGCCCACCACCGCCATGGCTATGCCCACCAACAGCACCAGGATCCCGCAGAGGGCGATGAGCCCTGAGATGGAGCACAGCTTCAGCTTGCCTTTCACTACCACCACGTCGTTCTTGCGCCTCTTCTTGGATTTCCGCTTGCGCTTGGGGATCTGGCTTGGGGGGCGGAGTGGATCCTGCTTTCTGGCGGAAATCCTCAGCAGGCCGCCGGTGGCGATCATGGCGAACTCGTGGAGTGCGGGACTAGCCTCTGGGGTGGAGGCTTGCGCGGGGAGGGCGCCAACTGCCCACTAGCTGCTCAGCCACCTCCTCCTGCTGCAAAGCAGAGAAAGACAGTCAGAGGGTGTTGGCTTGGCTGCAGTGACATCTCACGCTGCAACTGCCCTGCTCCCAGATCCCACTCCATGTGTGTCCCTCCCCAGGGCCTTTATCCACTAACCCAAGCGAAGGCCGTGTACAGAGGCTGGGGCCAGGTAGACATTAGGGAAGGGAAACGTTGTTGCAACAACTAATAGGTTCTTATAAAACACTGCAATAACTAATAGGTGGTGAGAAAACAATGATGAGAGTCTGCCTTCTTCTCCCCACTCCTCATCCATTTCCCCCATACATTCCATGGGTAATATGAGGGTTTGAAATGAACAACGGAGTTCCAGCCATTAGTAAAATGTAAATGATCTTGGTCTTCTTGTCCATAGTAAATGTAGGAAAGTTAAGGACTTTCCTGGCAAGATTCTTTCCCTTAGTCCTACTGGAATTGGAAGATTTTTCAAGGGAGCTGCCACAGGAATTTCAAGTCTCTCTAAGCTGGGGAATCTGTCAATGTGTGGCCCAAAACACTCACAAAAGTTACTACCGTGTGAAGACAAAGGAATTTATTTCACTGGATGAAAATTAAAGGTCATATAATGGCAGGTAGGCAGTTTATTTACTTCAGCCAATTAAAAGAGAGTTCACCACTGGGGAAGCAGCAGAGATATTGCAATACTCTGACAATAAATCCCTTCACAAAGTCATCTCCCACCTATGCCTGTTCCTACAGCTAAGTGCAAGCAGATCCCTTGCACAGCCTTCTCTCCTCTCGGCAACATCTGGACAGCTTCTTGGGGTGGAATATTTAGTTTTAGGTAACTGCTTATGTAACTGAGCTCTTCCTTCTTGCCTTCTCTGCTCCCTAGAGGAACTCCCTTAAAGGTATCATGTGCCAGATTTCATCAGGAAATTTGAGATGTCCCCTGGAATCTCCAAGAGAAAGATCTTTTTCTCACGTGGGAAAATTACAATTAAAAAAACACTCTGCCACAATAGCTTTCTGACCCCTTATTCAAGTGCCAAGAGCATGCTACAGAATTCCAGTATTCAAATGAGTAGGCAATTAACTAGGTAAAGCAGTCTGCATAATATGATGATCTGTAGAATGACATTTCCTCCAAGCCAAAGCTGGTTTTGTTTTGTTTTGTTTTTTCTCATCCTTTTCACATGAGGTCATTTTTAGGAAGGGAGGGTGGCAACAATCAATGGACTACTCTTAGGAAGTTTATTTAGCAGTTAGTAATAAGGCCTGGGTAGGTAAATTCACAAATGCATATTTTTGGTTATTCGGCAGCCTCTAAAAATTTCTGTCTTGCTGTATCCCCAGGGTAAAACATTTTCTGTTCCATTGGTTGTGTTCCTTCCTATGAGATGCTAAAATTAAGGGCATTGTATGAACTGAAAGACTTAGTTATCACTCCCAAACCTTTTGGTATTCTATCCTTTATTAGATAATTCATGTTTTAGAATAAATTGTCCCTTGAAAACGTGTGGCAGGTAGAATTTTGCTTTTCATTGGTGTTTGGGTGCAAGGCTTTGGCCCTTGAGTTCCTCCATTATACCAATATAGGCAGGATCTTTTCTCCATCAGTGGGAATGCAAATGGTAATCAGTTCTTTACAATGTTGCAAATCAATATCTCTTTGGAACTTAGTTGGGTTTCAGTAAAGAGAAGCACCAGGTAGATTAGAGAGGGGTCAGTATAGAGAATACATCTATAAAGCTTTTAAATTTTATTATAAGAATGAGCTGCACCAGTAAGTACAGATTAAAAAAAAAAAAAAAAAAGCTTACTGTCTATACCTCTCATCTCAAATAAATAGGCTCATTTATGACGTGGCTGTAACATACAGACTGTTGTTGTAAGTGATCCCTGGAGTCCAGCATCTTAAATAATCCGGAGATCCATAGTTATCTTAAGAAGGCTTTAAGGACCAGACATTTGATAAGCGAACTCAGTTGGCAGGGTGGCTCTCCCACCGGAGAAAGGCTATATGTTTGGTGTGGCATGGATCAGGTGCACCGGGATGCTGGATGTCTTGGGGGAGGGGGGCACCCACTTGGATTTCTCCTCAGCAAAGCAGCTTTGGCTCCGGTAGAATGTAAGGAAGGTTGGAATGGATTTCAACCATCCTTACAGCAGATCTTTAAAATGAGTTTAATAGCTAGTAATTAACTCCCTCGTTTATTGTTCCTTCAGCTCTGCAGAAGGCTGTACTCCCTTTTAATGTATCACCATCTGACATGACATACAGACAAAGGTCAGATGCCACGGGAGACCCACCTTTGAGGTTTTCCTTTATACCTAATGAAAGAAAACAAACTTAGCAGTCAAGCTTGGCTGCCCTCGCAATTTACTGCCTGGAGCTGGTCTTACCGTGGTTAAGGAATGGAGGATGGGGGAAGCAAAGGAGGGATGTCTAAAAATACAACTGCTTCCAAGAGAGACATTCAAGTTCTCAGCTCATGATGGATTGAGCCCCACTCTGAGGCTCGGAGGCTCGGAGCCCACAGGCTGGGAGCGCTATTCTGTGTCTGGCACCCAACCCAGGTCCTAGACCCCTGGCCCCTCACGGGCAGGATGGCGACCCCCTGGCCCCTGGCTGTGGTCTACTTATTGATGTTGGCTGGAGTCACATGAGTCCAGCAGCTGCGCGTCCGCTTCTGGAAAGACAAGCAGGAGCGAAGTGAGGGCAATCCTGAACTCGCTTTTTCTGCGCAGCGCATCCCGTGTAGCCCTCCCGGTAAAAAGCCTGTCCCCGAACACCAGCCCGGGTGGCGGGGACTTGGAGACCTGAGGGGCGGAGAGGGGTCCCGGGGGCTGGGGACTGGCAGAATTGCTCAAAATGGCAGCACTCTCCGCACACAAGATCGCTCACTTACCCAGGGAGACCGGGGGAGGTCGGGGCCGGCGAACGGGCGCTCGGGCAACACAAAGGAACCATGGAGAAACTTTTTCAGCCCGAGCCGACGGCGGAGCGCAGGGACAGCGCCCCGGGGCCCTGCATTGGAGCCCGGCTCAGCAGCCCCGCGGGGGCGAGCGCCCGCCCCAGGCTCGCAGTCCCCTCCGGGGCCGTGGCGGGAGCCATTTCCAAGAGTTTCCAAGAAGTGTCAGGTCCTCCGCATCCCGCATCCCGTCTCGGAGCCCTCCTCTCCGCCGCTCCTCCTCCCGCTGGCGGCGTCTCCTAGCGCGGCGCTCCCGGGCCGGTCCCCGCAGCCGCGCCGCCGGCCCTCCAGCCTCTTTTGTGTGGCTGCGGCGCGCCGGGCTCCGCCGGGTGGAGTTGAGCCCGCGGCGGCGGCTCGGGGCGGCCGGACTGGCGGCTGTTGCTAAGAGACCGGAGCCATGACACAGGAAAATTGCGGCAGGGTGGCGGTCGGGGCCCGCCCGGCTCGGCGGCGTAGGGGGGGGGCTCCCCCGCCCCCCGCCCCGCCCCGCCCCCTCCTCCGGCGCACCCCCCCCGGCACGCCGCTGGCCTTCCCCGCTCCCCCGCGTCCTCAGCCGCCTGCCACCCGTCCCTTCGGAAGCTGGGTGCTTCCCCGGGGAGAAGGCGCGAGGGGAGGCGGCGGAGGCAGCCGGTGCGGGGCGCTCGGGCCAAGGGGCAGGGGGCGCAGAGGGCAGGCGCGGAGCGCCTCCTCCGCCTCGGCCCTCCCCGCCCCGGGGCGCCCGGAGGCCACCTCCTGCCTCCGCGAGCAGCTTTGTTCTTCTCTCTTCCAACTACCTGTCTGAGCCGCGGGCCCCAGAGGCCCCAAAGAGAAGCCCAGAGGGTCTCCCCAGCAGCATCCAAGGGGCGCTTTCGGGGAGCTAGGGCCAGAGCTCGCGTTCCCTTCGTGCCTGCCTCCCTCCTCTCGTCTCTCGGTCTTTTGTTGCTTCTACTCCTCGGCACCGCACAGCCTGGGCTGTTTTCCCCCTCCCGCTTGGGAGTTTGCAGTGTGGACGCTCGGCGAGCGCAGTAAGTTGTCCCCCAGCGAACTCGGGCCCCGGTGGAGTGGAGCCGCCTCCGCCGCGCCGGGCGCACCGCGGGACGCGTGGAAGCCTCTGTCCGATGTGCTCGCGCTTCAGCCCCACCGGGCTTTGTGACCCGCCTGACCGGGACCCGGCGACTTCCGCGGGCAGCTGGGGCTCCTCGGTTATCGGAATCGGCACCGGAGCTCTTCCTTGGGCAGCCCCTCCTGCTCCTCCCCGGTGTGATAATCAGCAAGCATTAAAAGGAAAACTACAATTCTTCAGGAATCAGGAATCAGGGTTAGAATCAAAGAGGGGAGGTGGGGGTAGGGAGGATGTCCAAACTCCCTACGTCATTTCAAAAAGAGGAAGGCGAGAAAGAGAGAGAGAGAGAGAGACAGAGAGAGAGACACACACAGAGAGAGATCCTGTTTCCTAGCTCATCCCTGTCCTCTCAACTGTAAAGTAAAAATGACAGGGAAAAGAGAATTTCAAAGTGGAATTTCCCCAAAGAGTATTGAGAAAGTGAGAAAGCTTTCAATTATCTATTGAAGTGAGGCAGCCAGGATTCAGGAACAGAAGAGCAGATGAAGCAAGTGCTGTCTAAAATTCTGGATCCAGGCAAATATTTTGGTGCTGCGGGTGTTGTATATATTCTGAGTTTTGGGGCTTCGGGGTCCACAAAACCCGCACAAGAGGACTCTGCTGCTCACAGATCCTGTTACAAGATTGTCCCCACATGCACAGCATTCACTTGTGCTTAAATGTAGAGCACACACTTTTCAAAAAGAACAATAACGACAACAAATTTACAAGTTCGATGATATAAATGTGGACAGTGATCTAGGGGTTGGGGATAGAGATGGTGTGGGACAGGAGGGAACAAACCAGAAGTGTGCTCTACAAGGCAACCCTGCATTCGCCTGTTGGAAAGGTGGCCTCTGTCACCCTTTTCAAGCAAATACCGAATCTGAATGATGATCAGGGTGTCCGGAACCCACCGCCTTCCCCCTACCTATTCCTCCTCAGATTCTGGCTATTAGGAAACAAACCATAGTGAAGGGAAAGTTTTCAATCCCACATTGGGTGGTTTCCTTTCAGAGAAATCGCTGCAAAGGAGAAATAACAAGATCTAGTTGTTTTCTAAAGACTTTTTGCCTCTGAACTTCCAGGTGTCTTGAATCCCAGTAATAATCTGTACAGAGATCGGACCTCCAGTCTCACTTCATTGCACAGTTAGCTGCCAGTGTCTGTGGGTGGCAGCTCCTATCTTCTGTTTGTTGGGCTGTACAAGTAGGAATGATACTGCAGAACTTCATCAGGATTTCAGGTGGATTGGACTGCTAATAGTTTCAAGTTTCTGTGTAAATTATAGCCATCATTTACACATTTAAAACTCATTTGAGGGATTTGGAGAAGAAAAGAATTCTTTTCTAGACAATGGGCCTTTGGACATAGCTAGTGTTTTCTTATGTTGATGACTGCAACAGAATTTATGGTTTATTACTCTAAGGCTTTCTTCCAAATTGACTTTTTGGAACTTTGAACTGTTCTATTTAACCTGAGTGTTGTCACATTGAGTAATTTTATTTATTTTCAGCTCGTGGTATCAGAGGAAATCAAACAAATGTCATCTGTTTCCAGTGGAGTCCTTTATCCCCTCTGTAATTCAGAATCAACATACGTTCCCAGAGGTTTTCGAGTTACGTAGAGTTGTTTTTAAAGGAACAGGGATACTTTTGGCCCTTCTGGAGTTATTTTCCTTCCAATTTCACTGGCCATTTCAGTCTGGATGATTTCCGAGATTGTGGGACCCCACCTTCACCGTGCTGAGGACTGAGGGGCTATAGCTACCTAATCTTTATGATTCACTGGTGCCTCCAGATTTTGGAGCTCAGCGCAGCCTTCTGACCTTGTAGCAGGGAGTGTAATGAAGGTCCTGGGAAAAAAAGAGAAGAGGATAAAGATTAACTTAGTTTAGTTGGATTAAATTATGACCTGCAACCTTTCATTTGGTCTTTCTTAAAAAGAATCCTTATATAATTTATTCAGTCTCATAATTTATTCAGAACTCATTTACTTCCCGGATCATTTCACCAACCCAGCCTGGTATGCTTGACTTGCCTGCCCGTGCCTCCAGGGCTGCACAGGGGAAGACACTGGCCTGCCATTGGCACACACAGGGCCTTCTTGGTCTCCAGGAGTGTGCCAGAGAAGGGCAGTCTGCTTATACCAGCAGCTCAGCAACTCCTGCCTCTGCACACATCTTGCCTTCACAGAGAGTACAGGCTGCAGAAATAGGTAGGTTAGTGTTGTGGGTTCTGGAACCAGTTTATCTCCTCCTCTAACTAAATTACTTAATCTTGTCTGCCTCAGTTTCCCATTCCGTAATGGGGATAATGACACTGATACCCTATTCATAGCATTGTAGTAAAGATGAAGAGTTTAGTCAGTGTAAGCTAATGCTTACCACGTAGTAAGCACTCATTAAACTTATCTATCACCTTATTGGTTCTAACATCTCCAAGCTCGATACCCTCACTCTCTTTTCCATTCATATTTTCTTGGATCTACATGGAACTGTATCTGCACTTACTATCTCTGAAGTAGGGTTACCGCATCAGCTGTTGTGATTGAACTACCACTACCTACATGACATAGGTCCAGTGCCACTCCAGAAAGTTTGCTTTGTATGAGAGTGAAAACACTTTCTCCATTGCCACTTTGCTCATTTTGCAATTAACCAGGACCCTTTAATTTCAGTTTGTTCAAGAACTCAGATTTCAAACTCATGACACTCTGTAGTCAAATTAGAAATTTGCAAAAATACAACCAAGAGACATTTCAGACCAGAAGGTGGAAGATTTCATAGAAAGGAACTTCAAGCCTTTGTATGACATCTCTACATTAGAAAACAGAAACAGTCAACCCCAGGTCAAAAACAAGATGCAAAATCACCCCTCTCTTTATTCCTTCCTTACCCTTTTCATACCTCTGCCAATAAAAAACAAAATGACAAAAAAGCATGACAAAATAAAACAATAAGCATACAACTAGAGTCACTAGATTTAGCAAATAAAACAATTGCATGGGATATACTTCCACTAAAAAACAATTTGTTATTTACCTAAAATTCAGACTTAACTGGGCATTCTATATTTTATTTGCAACCCCGCCACAATGTACCTGATAGCCTCGAAATTTTCTCATGTAACATGCAAAGGATGAAAGAGCCTGATAGGCAGAAAATATGAAATGCAACATTAAATTTATTTCGGAGCAGAACAGGCAGAAAAAGAAAACACAAGATGGATGGAACAACAGAGCTTCAAAGCCTGAGGATAGTGTTTCCAACCTGGACTGGGCTTAGTCGTGGTGTTTCTCATAGTTAGAGGTTGCGTGGTTTGTGTTTCTAGCCCTTTGCTATAGAACACTGCCATGCTAGAGGGACAGGCATTTGCCCTGCCTCCAGTCCCCAGAGTCCCACAAATGAACTTCTGAAGAGATAGAGCTCAACTCACTTTCAAGAACTTCAGTTTTGAAACCAAGAGTAAACTCATGCTAGTGTCAAGGTCAAGATCAAACCCATTTCTTGTATTTCTGAGAAGAATCAAAGAAGTTCAAGCCCAAACACTTCCACCACAGAAACAGTGGGAAAAAAAAATGGCGCAAGATATAAAGAGTCTTCCTTAGCGCACATCAGACAGGTCCTGCTCCTTCCATTCCAGGTCAGTAGCATGTAGCAATGACAGCTTCATTTGTCTTTCTCAGTGAGAGACCTGCCAGGGGTGGTTGTCTCTAGTAAATCAGGTTCATTTTTATACATTCAGTTTTCCCCAATAGGCTGAATTTTCTACCATTTTTCATGTACACCATCAAAGCTGGATTCCGGTCCTTATGAAATAATTGAGGTCTGAGATGAGAAACTAGAGTTTTTTGGCAGGCCTGAAAGCAGATCAAAACTGAGCTTGGAAAAAGCTTTGGAGGGAAGGCTCCATCAATGAAAGAGCTAAGGCGAGACCCATGGCTAAATGTGCCCTATGTTTCCAAAACATAATCCTAAATGTCCACACTAATGTCGTTCATATCATTTTATATAATCTACAAGCGCTATGGAGAGATGACTTGTCCGACGGAGAGCTAACTGCTCACATGTCTGATCTGCTTTCAAAATTAATTGTGATATGAGCTGCTGTGTGTACACCACAGGAAGAAGGAAACACACAGATAAAGAACTAGTTTTCAAAAGTAAAGAAATAAACATAAGAATTCCAAGTAGCAATTCCAGGACCGCTACTTGGGTGACAGAGCTCTGATTCGTCCAGTAAAGATTTTCTTAACCGCTTCTGTGTACCCCACTGTATGATTCCTGCATCATTCACTCAACAAATATTTACTGAGTATCTACTGTGTTATTGTTCTAGGCACTGGGGATAGAGTGGTGGTGA